GCCATGCTGCACTGCCAGGGCCAGAAGGGGCTGGGAAAAATCCCCAACCCATCACCAGCACTGAACACAAAAAATCCAAGGAAGCAGAGGTCCATCTCCAAACAGAAAGCTTGTTCTGCAGCTATGGAGTGGGACGGCAGTTTGTGGGAGATCTGCTCAGGACTGGGAGCGATTCCCTCTTTTATCGGTGTGAACCCAATGGCTGCAGGGCAGAAAGGGAAGGGAAACGGCAGCAACAGTTTTTTTCCTCGCGCAGACGCACTTTTGATCATAGAAAAATGCACCACCTGTTTCTGAACCGTGGCACTGATTTAACAGTGACGTAGTTGGGGGTTTTGTTTCTTTTTTCTTCTTTTGGTGGGACAGCACTGTGCCATACAACGCAGGGTCTGCTCACCTGCATCCTGCCCCATCAAGAGCCCACGTGGAGCCCACGTCCCCCCCTCCCACTTGTCCCAGTGGAAGTCCCTCAGAGTCAATGCTGGGTGTGAGCTGCGAGTTTATTTGACCAAAATCAGACAAGAAGAGGCATTTCCATGCAGAAACTTTTGGTTTGTGACACGTTTCCCAGCAGCCACCTGGCAGCCCTCCCCCCAGAACCAAGAAATACAACGATGTGGAGTTGGCAAAGTCAAACAAAGCGCCCACCCATCCCAAAGAAAAGCAGCTCCTGTCGCACGCTGTGACACGGAACGATTTGGCAAATTGTGCTGATCTGCAGCTCCTGTCCATCCGGCCCCCAGAGCTGTGCTGTGCTGTGCTGGGGGCAGGCAGACCCCAATGCCTGTGCTGGGGGACTTGGGTGGACGAGTGCTGCCCCATCAGCATCTGCACCGGGGGTGATATAAATATAAAACTTCCATACAAATGGGTTCTTTGTACAGAAAATATCATCTCAAGGCACTCGAGCGGTGTCCACGGGCTGCTCTGACCGAGCGCTGCAGGGAGGGATGGAGGCACGGGGCCATCAGGCACTGCCACCCTCAGGATGGCACCGGGATGGCATCACCCTGCGGGGGGTTGCGTCCCAACAAGGGGGCTTCGGGCTGGAGGTGGCCTGAAGGGAGGTGCATAGATGTGGTGGGGGCCGGGACCCCGCTCTGGATTCACGCCAACAGCCCCAGCCGGGTCACCTTGGCCGAAAGGAAGGAGTGGATGATGAACACGATGGTTTTGGGGCAGGAGTGAAGGTCCAATTGCTGCAAGAGAGGAGCAGAGGGACGTTTGCAGTGAGAATTGTCGAGGAGCGGGCGGCTTTGTGCTGGCGGAGGGGAGGGATCTAGAGGAGCTGCAGGGGACGAGGACCCCCCAAAGCCCCCTCAGCCTCCCGGGGGCGTAAGGTGGCGCCCACTCACGATCTCTCCCTCGGGGCCTCCGAAATCCAGGTAAAGCATCTTGGTGCCGTCGTCCGAGGACATCTGCAGCTTTTCGAAGGGCTGTTGGAGCAGCACGGTCCTGCTGAGCCCCGGCTCCGTGGCGGAGATGGTGAAGCCTTTGTCGATGTGGATGGACAGGATGCACTCCTGCCCTTTCCAGGTGCACGCTGCGGACGGGGACGCGCTCAGCACGGCGATGCGAGCGCACCACTCCACCCATGGCCCCGCCGGGACCCCAACCCCGTACCTGCGGACACCTCCTGAGCGAGCTCGGCGGCGCCGTGGGTGCCGTCCACCAGCAGGCGGGTCCAGAGCGCCAGCTCTCGGGGGCTTTCCAGGCTGAAGAGGTGGCTCTGCACTCCCAGCCGCGTGCCGGCCCGCAGCGCGAACGCCAGCTCCGCTTCCAGCAGCGCCGAACCCTTGGCGGGCCCCGAGTGCACCAACCTGCGGCACGGCGCTCAGCACCGCGCGGCCGCCAGGGGGCGCCGCAACACCGCCCGTGGGACCCGCCGCGCCCGCGCACCGTGCGCGCCCCCGCGCCGAGAGCGGCTGCCGCTGCCGTATTCTAAGTTCTGCCGGGACGGCGGGACACCGACACCGTTCCCAGCAACCTGCCACCACCCCACGGACGCTGCCGCTATCTCCAGGGTCCTGACACAACTCGCAGACACTGCCAACGCTCTAGGACGCCGCTGTCCCCCCGGGGCTCCGCCACCCCGCATGGACATCACCACTGCTCCTGGGACACCAACGCCGCCCTGCAGCACTGCCTCCAGCTCGGGATACCACCGCCTCTGGGACGCCACCACCACCCCAGGACACCAGTACCACAGCCCACCACCACCATCCCTGGATGCTACCACCAGTCAGGATGCTGACACCTGTCCTAGACTCTGCCAGCACCCCAGAATATCACCATCCCCGGGACACCACCACCATCACCTGGGACACCAACACCACCCCTGGGACACCAACACCATCACCTGGGACACCAACACCACCCCTGGGACACCAACACCATCATCTGGGACATCACCACCACCTCTGGGACACCACCACTACCCCTGGGGCTTTACCACAACCCACGCACCCTGCCACCACCCTTGGAACTGCCCCCATCCCCAGAGCACAGCCAATAACCCTTGAATGCTGCCAGTGACCCCTGAGGCTCTGCCACCACCAACCCAAGGTTTTGGCATCAGTCCTAGGAAGGAAATCCCAGGGGCACTGCTATCATCCACCAAGTTCTGCCACCACCCCTAGACTCTGCCACCAGTGTTGGGGTCCTGCAGTCAACCCCGGACACCGCCACCACCCCCAGGCACTGCCACCACTTCCAGGACACCATCACCACGCTGTGACACCACCACTGCCCCTGGACATCACCACCATCCTTGGACATCATCACCATCCCTAGGACACCAACAGCCCCACACAATACTGCCACCACTCCCAGACGCTGCCAGCCCCCCAAAACACCAACACCACCCCTAAGGTACCACTGCCACTCTTGCACACCAAAACCACCCTTGGACACTGCCAGCACTCCTAGACACTGCCACCACATCTGGGACACCGCCACCACCCCAAGGACGCCACTGCCATTATCCTGAGGCCCTGCTACCCCATTAGGACACCAGCACCACCCACAGCCACCACCAGTACCCCAAGCCACCACCACCATCCGTCCCTCTGGCAGCCCTACCTGGTGGCAATGAGTGGGTAGCTGTGCACCGGTTTGCCCAGCGCATCGCGGCTCAGCGGCAGGCTGCCATACAGCAGCAGCTCCTTCTCGGTGAGCACAGCCAGCAGGTTCCTGGTGCCGGCACCGGGCAGCTGCAAGGGGAAGGGGTCAGGGACGGAGGGGACACCGGACAGGGGACAGCGGGGCTGCGGGTACCTGCTCGGTCAGCCAGCCCACGTGCTTGACCTCCCTGCCGCTCACTGTGCCAGCGCCCGCCAGCTGCGCCCGCAGCTCATCCTTCACCCGCGGCAGCAGCGCGCCCGCAGCGCTCTGGATGGCCCCGAGCCACGACTGTGCCGTGGCCTCGTCCTTCGCCCGTAGGAACAGAGCCACGCGCCCATCCGCCGAGCACACCTCCAGGTACCTGCAGCGACACGGCCCCGTTTGGATCCCCGCTGCCCCCTACACGGCCGCCCCGTCCCCGCGGCGCGGTGCAGCCCTACCTGTGCTCGGGGTCAGCAGGGAGGCACTTGCGGGACACGTAGCACATCCGCAGCGGCACCGCGCGGCTCTCGCGGGGCGGCAGCACGGGGGACGAGTGCTTCTGCGGGGCGGCAGGAGAGGGATCCCAGCTGACCGTCGGCCCCGCCGCCGAGTTCTTGAAGTAAGGTGAGATCTCCTTCATGTACTTCACTGCAAGAGAAGAGCCGGGATATGGCACGACGTGGCCACAGCCTGCCTGCGGCACCCGCACCTCCTGCACCCGTCAGCCCAACATCGCCCACAGTGCTGCTGTGGGATCTCTGCAGAGCCCCACATCTGCCCCCCATCTGGGGCATGCTGCCACGCACCAGAGAGCTGAGCTGGCCAAAACTATCCTTTTTCCTCTTTTTTTTTTTTTTTTTAACGTGCCTTGGGTCACAGCTCCCATTCCAGCCCTGACCCCGTTGGCTGGGATGGCACACAGAGCCAGGGGCGGGGAACAGGCAGGAGGCCCAGGCCAAAATTACACAGTCCAAACTGTGCTGGTACAGCTGGTCCCACAGCCAAGTGGGAACAAAGCAGTAATAGCCCTGAAATACCATGGCTTGGCCCCAGGAAAAGCCTGGAGCTGCTTGCACGCAGCTCACATAACCCACCCTGCCTGGTGAGCTACAAAGCAGGGGTGAGAAACCAGTGCTCAGGACTTGGTGAGTCAAGAGCAAACCTCAAAGTGGTCCCTAGGGCTTGGGAAAGGGGAGAGAAGAAGTGATGGGGAACTGGTGGGGCCTTCCAGACACAGCCTCAGAATGGGGCCAGGGGTCTCGGGGCTCACACAAGCCAAGACTGAGCAGGGTGGTGCGCTGCAGGGAGTGTGCTGCTCAAAAGGGCTTTCCTCGGGTGGCTGCTGGGAAAGGACCAGGGCACAGACATGTGCCTGCCACCCACCTCGTGCCTGCTGGTATAAATAGCAGCCGTGCTGCCACAGGCATGCGAGCTGTGCTGCCCGGGCAGCACTCCCAGCAGGGGGGACCCATCACTACCCAGTGCCTGGCAGCTCACTGCATTTCACAAGTCAGCATTCAGCTGCAGGCACTCAATCCTTGCCAAAGGCCATTTGCAGGGGACAGTGCTCTAGGGCACAGGGACACACTGCTTGCCATGCCCCCAGCCCTCCCTCCTAACTCACAGTAACTGCAGCATTCCTGCACCATCTGTCCTAAGTGTCACCTCAGGGCAGTGGGACACCACCAGCATCGGCTGCGCAATGGCTGGAGCACATCATGGCAGCAGGAGAAGGGGTAGGGGAAGGGCCAATGGATGCCGTGCCAGGAGAAATCCCCAGAGCCATGCAGGGGATGGGATGCAAGGCACTGCCCTGGGGTGTCATTGGTGGGATGCGCTGGAGACCCCCTCAGTGCACACATGAGTGCAGAGCCCAGTCCCTGGAGGTGTTCAAGGCCAGGTTGGATGGGGCCCTGGGCAGCCTGGGCTGGTATGAAATGGGGAGGTTGGTGGCCCTGCCTGTGGCAGGAGGTTGGAGCTTTGTGATCCTTGAGGTCCCTTCCAACCCTGGCCATTCTGTGATTCTGTGAGCCGGTGCTGCATGAAACATGGGCACGTGGCCACCAGCTCCGGCATTCATTGTGCAGGATGTCCTGGTGCACCCCAAAAATCCCAGGTGTGGTCTTGAGATCATAGCACTCATCTCAAAGCATCTCTAAGACAGCACAGCTGGGTCACTAAATTTGCACTTTCTGCAAGTTTTCTGCCCAGAGTGTGCCAAGACAAGAGGCTCTGATCCTCCTTCCAGAGGGCATGGAGCACATCAGCATAACAGACCTGGTGCTCCCACTGTGGTCTGACCACAGCATCTCCCACAATACATCCTAATGCTCAGATCACAGCTCAGGGCTCACCCTGCACAGCTCCACAGGCTCACAGACAGGAGGGCAGCCCCAGTGCCACAGGGACACCAACTGCTGAGCCTCTTTGCACCAGCATGCAAATCCCAGTCTCAAAACCAGCTACTGAGACCTCCTGTCCCTTCAGCCCTGTGTTACTTTCTCCAGTGTCTGCTGAGCCCAGCAGTGCTTTGTAACTCTGGATACAAAGTTGATGCATAAATAAATTTAAAAAAAAAAGTGGGGGAAAAATAAGGTCAGGCAGAGCCGCCTCTCCCCGTATAACACTGTAATATAAATACAGTCACACTCCTGCAGATAGCAGCGAGCAGCTTGGCACAGAGCAGTGCTGGCAGGGCACACCGGGAGCCTCTGCATGTCACCTCACCCAGGAATGCCAGCATTGCGGGGCCAGGCTTTGGCTCTGGGGCTCAGCATGGGGGAGGTACCCCAATTCACTGCCCCCACCAGCCAGGAGCGTGCAAACCGATGGTTTCTCAGCGACAGCACGGTCAGGGCTCTGTTTCTGTCTGGCACAGCGCTCGTGAGCCACTCTAAAAGGGCTCCAGTTCCAAACACAGTCTTTGCTGGGGAGGAGAAAGGTGGTGAACATATGCTGGCTGTGCTAAATGACTGCATGGTGATATTTATGGTAAAGAGAACGGATGTCAGAGTTAACCAGGGAGTGCCCAGGGGCTGCGGTTTGCCCTCATCCCCTGTCAATGCCAGCACAACATAACCAAGCTCTGTGCCAGGCTGGGGCACACAGAACAGCACAGGGCTGACCCAGAGCTGCTGGGACAGGGGTCAGCAGGGGACAGGCAGCCCCACATGGAGTCCAGGTGTGGGGCTCCAGGAGGGAGCGTGGTCAGGAGAAAAGGGCACCTGCTGGATGCTAAAGTCACCGTGTCACTTGTCATCACTGAGCCTTGGAGCAAGCCCAAGAACAAGACTGGAGCAGGGCTGTCCCCAGCTCAGTGTAAAGCATGACATATCCCCAGGCTCTGCCTCGTGGGAAATGGAGGGGAAGTGGAGGTGATGATGAGATGGAGATGCCATGCACATATCACTGAACCATAAAGGTTAGAAAAGACCTCTAAGATCATCCACTCCAACCCCAACCTATCCCACCATGCCCAGTGACCACGTCCCTCAGTGCCACATCTCCACAGCTCTTAAATACCTCAGGAATGGTTACTCCACCTCCACCCTGGGCAGCTTTTTCCAATTCCTCACCACTCTTCTGGAGAAGAAATGTTTCCTAATATCCAACCTGACTGGGGGAATAAGGCTGCAGGAGAGTGATTACATGGCTACATCATAACCCAGAACATGACAGTGGGAGTCAGCCTGGCTCTCCTCTGAAGCCCAGCCCCGCTCCTGCAGCAGCCCACCTCCTGCAGAACCACATGTAGGTGCCTCCTGGAGGGCCCATCCCGCTCCCCGCAGAGGAGGAGGAGGAAGGTCAGAGGGAGAAGTGGTTCTCTCAAGGAAGGGCAGCTCAGCACCACCTCCTGCAGCACCTCCAGCAGAAGGGAAGCCCGTGCCAAAGTAAAGGATGAAAAGAAAATAACAGAGAGAGGGTGGTCTGAGCGCGGCGGCGGCGGGGAGGAATTTTGCAGACTCCCAAAGAAAGAGGCTCTTGTATTTCTCTTTGGTCAGAAAAAAAATAAATCAGCCCCTATCTGCACCCGGCAGCTGTGCAGAGCAGCACATTCCTCAGGCTGCAGCGTGGTTCTGTGGCTCCCAGGAGAGGAGGAACCCAGAGCAGAAAAGGGCTGAGCACAGCGAAAACCAGAAATCTGGAGATGACACAACTGGGGGAAGGCGAGGGAGAGCTCCAGCTGAGGAGGAGGATTTAAAGGAAGTTCTGGGAAAAGCAGAGCGCGGGAGCAGAGGACATGAGGGTACCCGCAGGGTGTACATAAGCAGGGCACCCCGCTGCCCCCTACCTTCCAGCACCACCTCTTTGCCCGTCTTCTTCAGCGCCTGCACCGCCTCGTCGTGCGTGGCCTCGGACAGGTCGGTGCCATTCACAGACAGGATGGCATCTCCCACGTACAGCGCCTCGGTCTGATCTGCTGCCAGTCCCTTGAAGATCTTGGAGATGAGGATGGGCATCTTGTTCTCCCGGCCACCTGCGGGCAGAAGGGGCACCGAGCAGTTAGGGGACACTGAGCAATTAGGGGCACGCTGGCTGCTCGGGGCTGAGTGCAGCCCCCAGCCCTGTAACAAGCACATGCAGTGCCCAAATACCTCAGGGCTTTATGGCAGATGCATGTAAGCGCTTCAAAAAGCCATCTGAGCGGCTGCAGATTTCCTCGCAGAGCAAACACACACCCTGACCGCCTCCCCATCACTTCTGGCAGGAAACCGTGTCACTATTTGCATTATTAATTGCGTGTGCTGAGCAGCCCTCCCTGCTCTCAGGACCCCGCGGTCTCAACGGGGCAGCAGCCGAGTGCTGGAGAGGCAAAAGAGCCACAGAGCGGCTGCCCAGCCGCAGGGCTATCTGCTCCCCACTCCTCTCTGGCTCCATTCGGGCTGCTCCCCGCTCTTCAGCACACCGGGACACCTCTCAAGGCCTCCGGGCAGCTCGGAGAGATCAATTTGCACACTTTTGAACCCGTAAGAGACGCCAGCAGCTCCGCCTGGCGCTGCCTGCACTCAGCGCTGGGACAGCGTGTGCCGGGCACCTCCTCACTCCCCCCCACTCCCCACCCACGGCCTGGGACAGGCAGCGTGACACCGCCCGGCGCTGCGCCCGCCGTGCCGCAGGCTCTGCCCCGCTCAGATTTCTGCAGAGCCTCTCCGGGAGCTGAGGGCTCCTCCGGCTATCAGCTGTCAGAGGCCCCCGCGGGGGCTGCTGCTGGCTGCCGAGCCCGGCCTGGAAGCAGCGCCTCGCAGCCACCCATTCCGGGCTGCGTGCGTGGAAAGGGAACCGTTGCCCGGAGCACCGTGCGGTACACCGAGCCTGCAGGAAAGAGATGCTAACCCTAACCCTAATCATTGTAACCCTGCAGGGCTGGCTGAAGCACCAGAAACCCCGAAAGCAGCGCCTGGCGTTAGGATGCAGCTGTAATACCCCGACCAGAAGATCTGCTTTACGTTCTGTCCCACGGGCCGTGGTCAGGAGCTGGCTGGCAGGGGGGAACCCGTCCCTCCATGCCTCCACACCCCCGCAGGGACAGCAGGGTTTGGCTACGAGCTGAGGGCTGCGTTTAAAGGGAAATGCTCGCCCCCCTGCAAAGCAGCAGGCACAAGGCAGCCCAGTGCTGCCCGCACGCCCGCAGCTCCCCGTTTGGATCGCGGCTCCTTGGTTTCCACCTACGTCACTGCAAAAATAAAGTTTAGCTGAACCAAGTAACGTTTCTCCTTTCCTGGGAGAGCCGCGGAGCCGGCAGAGCTTCGCAGCTCAAGGTTGGTTACAAGGGAGATTTGCACTTCCCAAAAGCGCTGCCGAGCTCCAGCACCCAGAACCCCACCAGCAGTGAGGTCTCACCCCGGACTCCGCACGGAGACCCGCACCCCACAGACCGCCCCACCCCACGTCCGGCAAAGAGCGCGGTGAAGGCTGAGCCCGATGCGGCCACGTCAGAAAACGGCAGCCCCCCACCCCCACCTCGTAAAAGTTCCCGGCCCGAAGTTCCCGCAAAGTCCCCAGGAGAGGGGCGAGGGCGGCCGGGGACACTGGACGGGGGCAGAGCGCTGCGTTCGGGGCGGCCCGGAGGGGACATCGCACCGGGGTCACGCAGGACGCAAGGACACGCGGGCGGAGCGCTCCGGTCGCAGAAAGGCAGAGCGGGTCCCACCTGCAGCCCCCTCCCGATGCCCCCCCCTCACCTTTAATGCTGATGCCGAGCCCCCCCACGTCCTGTTTGACGACGCGCACCGTACGCCTGATGTTGGCGAGCGCCTCGGGCACGCCGGAGCTCTGCTCCCCTCCGTTCAGCTGAGCCGCCGGCGGCTCTCCGTGCCCGGGACCGTCGGCGGGGTTGACGCTCAGCGTGTCGTCGCTCAGGGTGAGGAGGACGCGGAGCCACTGCCCGCCGGGGCCGCGCAGCTCCAGCAGCCCGCTGCGCGCCCCGCGCCTGCCCGCCGCCATCTTCCGCGCATGCCGAGCCCGGCCCCGCCGCTCCGGCACCTCCGCTCCGCGCTGCCCCGCGACCGCCCGGCGGAGCTCCGAGCCCCGCGCACCGCCCCCGGCCCGGCCCACGCCCGCCCCGTCGGGGCAGCGCCGCGCTGCGGGGTTCCGCGCCCGTGGAAGGGACTGGGAGAGCCGGGAGGGGCGCGGCGAGGTCTGGCCGCCCGCACTCGCAGCCGCCCGGCTCTGGGCACCGCGGGGCGGCCGTGTGAAGGAGGGACCCCGCGGGGCTCGTCGGGGCGCAGTTGTGTCCGTGCCGAGAACCGGGCGCCGCGAGAGCTTCGGGCGTGCCGCGGGGGACCCGAGGAACTGCTTTCGTGGAAGCGAGCGGCGCTGTCAGGCAAACCAGAAAGTCAGTCGAAGCGGACTCCGGACTTTTTACGGAAAATTGCGATGATGAAAAGCGAGGGCGGCTTTTGAGGGCGGCGGGGGGCGGCCCCAGGAGCTCTCCCGCAGACGTTC